CACCAGTCCCCCCGCCAAAGGGGAATTTAATTTTGCAACGGCAAATCAAACAGCATTAGACGTGCACGAACGAAAAGGAAAAGTGACGCCTGATAATGAAAAATTAAATATAAACAAGATAAAAAGGATTGGGTGTAATTAAAAATGCGACATTATAAAATTAATATCTTATATTTGTTCATTAAAAACTACATTGTGGGCCCGTGTGCCCGGCGCCCGGGTAACACGACCTTTGTATTATCTTGTTGCATATAAACTCTGCGGGCAGACTGTGTCATAAGGCAATGTGAGTGAATCTCCAAGGCATCTGGTCCGGATACGAGGCGGCGAGGCTCGTCCCCTCCCCTTCCACACCCCCCGCACTGCTCCCCTGACCGCCCCGCCGACCACGTCACTTTACAATTACTGGAATGTCACTCGGGATACGAACGTCCTAAGTACGGATCATATACATAGAGGAAATTACCTTAAGTCGTCCTAAATAACAGACCCGTTTTCAGCGCAGTAATTATTATTATATTAATATCTTCCACAAAAATACAATATCACAAGTTTCAATGTTTTATGATTATTTTAACAAACTATCATTTCTTTGTCTTGATAACTGAAAGTGGGTCTGTCATCACATTGTATAGTTCCGGACATCAGAAGGATAAGTTTTGATAAGTTAACATATATTATAAAGTAAAACTGATAAAAAAAAACATTCTCCCCACCTTATCCTACTTTCGTAGGGTCGGTAATACAGAGATAAGCATAAACCAAATATTAAAAACATTGATTATAATGGTATGATCAGTCTGTTTCTGATATTCATAAAATATTCGCATCAAACATATTGTATATAGGCCGAAGTTATAATACCCAGTGGTCATAAATAGAATTACATTTGTATAGCTCACTAGTAGTTTTACATATTTTGTGACAAACAGTTAAACATCCTTGTTTGACTACGTCAATCACATCGTTAAAGTAAATTGTATCAGCCTTACAAATAAATGCGGTATAAAGTTAAACTTACGAATAAACTGAGTATAAGCAAATATTAGTACAAATTTTGCTTATACTCAGTTTATTCCGAGTTCAACTTTAAACTGCGTTTATTTGTAAAGTTGAATAACTTTTAAACAACGCGTCACATGTTTACGAATATTTCTATCTTTGTCTCAGATTGAAAGAGATGGCAATATAAATATGTTACGTCAGTGGAGATTCATAATAAATCCAAAACTTACAATACACGTTTGGTATTTGTATGTCCTCTTTGTATATGTTCCATAAACCAAACTACAAACGAAACCTAACACTAAGTCGGACTTTTAATCAGCCGCTGTGACTTGACAGTTTATATTCTATCAGGTAGTTAGTGATGTTAAAATTCGATTTCATTATAATAATTAGCCTACGTTTAAAAATAAAATGGTGGTTTCAATTCATTCTAATTAGAATTAATCAAATTATATTGAAGTCCATATTAATAAAAGATTTTTATTTTAATGATATTCAAGCGTACTTTACAATAAAACAGTTCAATTCAAATTAATTTCAGACTTAAGTAAAGCAAAATGGAAATATACATTTTTCAATAGTTTCGACCAAGTCTTAAACGGTTCCTGCATAACCTGTCTTTAGTCAACATAGCTTGATTAATTCTATAAAATTCATTCTCCGAAATATCATTACATCATTTAAAAAATTATATATGCGTATAAAAATTGAATTTCAATCTGTCATTGAACATCAGCTAATTAAAATTCATTCCGTCGGCCCTTCGACCGCTGTACACATTGTACACCAAAAACATTCGCCGAGTCCGTCCAAACACATACGATATACCCTATAAAACTTACAAAAACCGGTACTCTTACAACTTAACTCTATTTTTATAATTAAACGGAATTGAAAAATAAATTACCTAGGTACAATACGTTTTAGTCTAGAAAGCTATTTATATCCGCACGTGTCAGTGCGTGGCCTCCCGCAGCTTCTTGGCGAGCGGCGGCGCGTGCGCGGCCGGCGCCTCGCCCAGCGAGCTCTCCTCCGCTGAGCTCGCTTCTTCTATTTGCCTACAAACAATTACGAATTTTCAAAAACGTTTCATAGTAACAAAAGGCCTTAAACAGCATACTAAGGCGACTTATACTCTATTTGAAATACATTCCTACGAACATACGTAATAAGTATAATGCCAGAAAACTTTTTCGGACCCTCTGGATGTCTATTTTATGTTTATTGTTTGTAGTTTATAGAGAATAATTTGATTTTAAGAATACAGCCTGAATTCTAGTTAAGGTTTACTTTACATAAGGTTGTTATAACAAATATGGAGACACGTATGAATAAGATACGAAGTGAGTATATTAGAGGAAGTTTGAGAGTAGCTCCAGTGGTAGAAAAGGTAAGGAGTAAAAGGCTAGCATGGCATGTTATGAGGGATGAATCACAAGTTAAAAGGAGAACGTTAGTTTTGAGTGTAGAGGTACACCGGTAGAGGTAGACCTAGAAAGAAATAGATGGATTGCATGAAAGGTGACATGACCAAAAAAGGGAGCGATGACTAAGACGACGTCTGATAGAGTTATGTAGTGGCGTAAAACCTGTAGAGCCGACTCTACGGGAGTAGGATAAGGAGGAAAAGATGGTGATTTTGTTATAATAAAAATGTGTTACCGTTTGGCGCGCGGCGTGCTGACGGCGGAGTCTGAGTTGTCGGAGGGCGAGGCGGGGGTGTTGGGCGTGCCGGGGGACGCGGCCTTGGCGTCCAGAGAGTCCTCCGTGCACGACGTTGTCGTGTCCTCGTTCGCGGACTCTATTTTGCCTACAACAAAACATACACCTGTTTTAAAAAATAAACACTCTGAAATTATCCACTTAAAATCCCTGTCTCACTCAGAGACTGATTGAATCGCTTAGTGTAAGAAATTTAAATCTATACTATTATAATAAAGCGTAAATACACACTTCTTTGTTGCCTAAGATGTCAGTAATTACAGCATATTTTTGAATAATTCTTTTTTTAATAAAAAGCCCTACACTTACGTCACGCTTTAAGCTATATGTTTTCACGCCATTAAACTTAGGTGGTAAATATTTTGGATAAAAACCCTAAAGTGGGAAAGAGACCATAAATTGCTGCCAACATCAAGAAAGCAAGATTGCTAAGGTTTGTGATGTCATGTCATTTTGTCATTTGCTATCGATAACTTGACAAATGTAAATAATAAAATAAAGTTTTTATAATTTCACGCGGATGAATCCGCAAGTGAACAGCTAGTATACAATAAAATTTGTGAAGTTACTAATATAGGTATAACTAGTAAACGACAACAAAAACAATCTTTGTGTAGACTAAAATAGAAGTGGTATTACAAGACAATTTGTATTCTGCAGTTCATGCGCGGGCGCAGGTAATGAGAGGTTCGGCCATTGTTAGCGAGGCCGCTTTGTCTTGGCCCGGCTACGCATTGTTATTCAAACTCTGGCAAAATTCACTACTGAGAACTAACAGTACTTTTTTTCGGACAAGTTACCTTTAGGCAATTGTTAACTTCATGCTTGTTTTGAGTTCTATTCGCAAAAGGTAATTTACCTCTTAATTTTGACTTTAAATCTATACTTTTCTGTTTTCTTTTTTTCTTTTTAATAAACTCAAGACACTAGATACATTTGTTAGTATTAAGAGATCAATAAATATTTTATTTACTAATATAATAATATGTATTTTTTTAAAATCGTGTTCCTACAGATGCAATATTGTTATTATTGATTAAACGGTATGTGACTTCGCTACTACAGCGAAATTAGAAGGCTGCTTCGCTCATTAGACACCTATTATAAAAATGTTTGTGTGAATTATGTATGTATTTTCTGTTAGCCCAAGATTTCCCTTACTACTGAATTAAAAAAGCAAGTATGTCTGTGTTCTTTCAGACTACATCTATGGCAAATTTCAGCGAGATCCATTGATCTAGAAATACGTCTATCTAAACCTCCGCATTTATAACATTAGTAAGAAGATGTTACCATTTCCGTTAGTGGCGGGTGGGTCGAGGTTGCTTTCGTCGCTGGGCAGGGGCGAGCCGCCGTTGGCGGGCGCGGGCAGCACGGCCAGCGGCTCCTTGCCCAGCAGCTGCGGCTGTAGGTCCGACACGATGTTGTGTGTCCATAGTGCCAGTTCCACCATGTGAGGGGACCATTTCTTGCCACAACCATTCTGTTCCTGGAATAATGAATATTTAGTAAACTTCATTGCTTGGTAAGTTGTTGTGTTGGTAGCATTGAAGGTGTTGAATATACGTAGCAAATATGGGTAAATAGTGGTTATTGTGGTTATGGGTAGTAACATTGCCGCAATCTCTATGTATTAAAATCAAATTAATATTCACCATATTATTTCAAAACTTCCGTAAACTACGCATATTTTTGACATCTTTAGTCAGAGATTTGTACCAGTAACCTAGATATCGCATGCCAGTGACTCAGAACTTCCTACATAAGTTGACATACAAACTAATTTGTTAAACAATGTAGGCTGCAACTTAGCATAATAAATTTTACATTAAAGGTGTTTTTAATTGTTTAAGCCCTTTAGTTGATTTTTGAAACATGAAGAAGAACATGCGAAAATTGTTGTTTACCATATAATCGAATCTATATAGTTATGTATAATTTTTAGTGTGAAAAGATGAACAAATTAACTATGGAACTTCCAAATCCGGGTCAATATGTCATAACTACACGCGCGGTATATTGTACAATAAAAAAAATAGAATCCTTACCTTATTTAATCTATCACAGACATTTCTAATATGTTTAACAAAGTTGAGGTATTCCTTGGCAGTGTAATCACTCCCTTCCATCTCCGGTATAGCCTGTATGCATTCGTCTGCCATAAAGGGAGCTATTTCAGGGCTGGCAGCTGCGAGTAGTGCTGACGCGGTGGCGGTTCCTACACCCTTCAGGTTGCTAAGGGCTGTCATTGCTGATTCAATGTTAGGTAACTTCTTGAATGCTTTCTTTGTTTCCGCCATTACTGCTCTTGGTGTGTTCACTTTGATTAGGTATGACAGTTGTGGATAAAACCTTCCCCTCTGCAAGAAAAAATATGTAGTTGTTTAGTATTACAATTACAAACAAGGCATTTTTTTAAATAACATCATTTTTCTGTCCCTTAATATGATATTCTTAAGCAGTATCACTGATAAATACTAGCTTTTGCTCGCGACTTAGTCCACACGGAATAAAAACAGTTATAAATATAGCCTTTAGTAGTGCAATTTTCTATTTTTAAAAGCTGCCTGGAATTTTTTGACTTTACGTACTACATACAGAAATAAAAATCTTTATAATATTAGTACCGAAGTACAGATAATTGCACAGATATTTTACTTATAACATATGTTTCTGTAGATATTGTAGTGCAAAGTATGTGAGACAAAGACTGCTAATGTCATAATGTTTTGAATATAAATTACAATACATACTGCTTGTTTCCATTTCATAAGTTGCACCAATTCTTCATGTATCATGTGAGCATCTTTCCCTCTTGATTTGATTTTCTTTGGTAATTCATTTTGATACCTGGAAATATAGAATACTAAATTGTAAAAAAAGTAATAAAGACAATCTATTTTATATCTAAGTTAGTAATATTTGGAGACTCTTTCTAAAAAAATCAGACATTCACATACAAAATGACCATCAAAATGAAATAATTCAGTATGTGAAACTTCTGCTTTTAAACTAAGCCTATCTTATGATATGGAATTATGTTAAGACATAATTAAGCAAATTAATTTCTAGAAAAATGTTAATAAAATAAAGTTATTTTATATTGTGGACCATAGAGTTATTAATGAATTCCTAAACAAAACAAATTCAAAACAGACTATACAAATATACTAATGAAAATTGTTTATCTTGTTATGTAGTAATAGGAAAATTCAAACTATTTGATAGCCCATTGTTAAAACATAAATAGTGTATTTATACTTCTTTACATATTTCTAATTTAATTAAGATAAATGAATAGGTTCTTTAATACCTACTTCATACTTTTACTTATTATTTGCAGACATGACATGTACAGGATATTTAGAGACATAGAGTATTTTGTGAAATAAAAATACTACAAAATAATTAAATGAATGCATCTGTACAAATGCCAATAATTTGATTTGATATGTAGATGTTTATTACATTATACAATTAAAATTATTATCTTGTTTACAATTATTTTGTTATGACTGCATACACTAGCTTCTGGAAATATTTCAGTTGTAAATTGGCTATTTAAATTCTAATTATTTTTCAGAGAGTATGTCAGGGAGAGGGAGATAAAACAATATTATGTAAATATTTCACCAGTACACTCACCATTACATAATATGTTTATATTTAATTTTTTTACATTTTTCCTAACATTTACTCATCTTTAGAAAAAAATACTTTGTGCTTCAAAGGCAGTTTTAATTTTAAAAATGTTTTATTGAATAAGATGTTTGAAAAAATTTAAAATGTAAAAATTATAATGAAATATTCAAAACTATACCATAATAAATTAAAAATAAATAGTACTTGATTTTATTGTGGGATGTGAAATACTTGATGGAAAAGTAAAGAAACAAATAAATGATTTATATAAAAAAGTATTTGAAATAACAGTGGCTGGTATTATTAATAAAAATAAATTAAAACATGTACCTATACATTAAATAAATAAAAAATAATTTTAATAAATATTAATGTCTAAAACTAATGTAGAGGTAACAATATAACATTTGCATCTTTTTGAAACAATATTCAATTGTTTCAAAAAGATGCAAATGCACTAAACAAATGTTTGACAGTTTTGTAAAAGTGTAGACATAGACTTAAAAATTATTATAAACTGATGACTCATATTTTCTCAATATCTATTAAAATGTCTTAAATCATTTATTAGTTCCTAATAAAATCAATACAACATTTAATATCATGAATAAATAGTTATTAACGACAAAATACTTTATAAAAAGCAAGTCACCATTTTGAACGGATGTGAGAACGGCACTAAACAAAGCGATGTGTAATTTACTAGCTACAAATAGTTATATATACAATAACATATTATGGTTGTTATCTAAAGTTGCCTAATCAAAGTATCTACAGAATTAACAAGCAAATATTCATTTGCATCCCAAACTAAAAGCATTTACGAGCGATGATACGTAAAGGACAGCCACCATTTTATAACGCCTAAGCGCGGTGATATTTTCCCCCACACTGGCTTCAGGAAAAACGATAGTGTCAATTTGACATCGATCCCACGTGACGCAGTGATTTTAATGAGCCGTCCGCGGACTAGAGATGCAGTCCGCGAGGGAGGTAGCTATCAAATCAGTTTGCACGGATACACACACAATACAAGTTCATTGACACGCCACGGCCGCATTTTCTCCACTGAAAGACGTTCGCACTTACCAATTGTCCAATTTTATGAGCTCCTCTGGTTTCTTTGTTTTCTGTTCAGCTTTTAGTTTGATCGCTTGTGGATATAACTTTAAAACACAGTCAAATTGTTTTGAATCTGCCTCCAGAAAGAAAGTAGACGTGTCTTTCGCGGTAGCCATTGTGAACGTTCTAAATGTACAACACTCTGCGTACCTATTTAGTTAGCTATAGCGCCGAACTCGACGCGGCGGCAGCACCTGGCCAACTGGGCGCCCTCTCCCCACTCGCCGCCATCTTGTCGACTGTATACTTCGCAATGACGTTCAATATTATTATTCAAAACTGAGTTTTTAACCACATTTTACCACATAAAACACTTATTTAAGGGTTATAATGACTTGCCATTTCTATAATAATATTATTTACACACTATTTGGCCAAAGAAACGTGGTTAATACACAATAAAAAAGTATAAAAAACTTACTTGCGATAACAAGGTTATGTAGGACGCGCGCTATGTCGTGGCGTCGGACATCGGTCGGGCATCCAAGGGGAGTATTGAACACGGGAAATCTAACTTTCATCTTGTTTAACTCACTTTAAATTGAAAAAATAAGCTTATAAATGAAATTTATCACAAATAGCAATATATAGTACACGATAATGCTAGTCACGTCGACCTCGGCGCACTATCAATTTCCTTAAACGTGACGCAACACACGACACCGTTCTACCGAAACGACTTTGGTAAACACGCATATTTTCCGTTGCATTGCAGTACACACTGAGCTCGGAGTAGTCATGAAGTAGTAACTAGCGGTGTACATAAGGCATTTAGGTAGTACGACGTACATATCACCGGGGTAGAACGTCACCACACCAATCGGCTTTGTTGTTTTGATAGACCGCCATGTGCTCTACTCCCTCTTTATAAATTTTCTTAATATTAAACGTTTGGCGAATTAATGTAACAGCTGTGGCACTCCGTGACCTTTGTTTCACGTTTACACGTCTCGATACAATGCTTTGAGCATATTCAAATGAATAAATCATTTACCTAAGTCATTATGTTGCTTTTGATATTTCTTTTTGAGTTTATGCGGTCAACTGTGTTATTTTTTTTAAACCATCCGTTCGAGCACATATCTGTGAAAAAATTAAATTCTCTGCAATAATTGTCACATTTAACCTAATGTAAAATTAAAATACAAACTGGCATAAGTAATTTTATCGTCATTCTATTTGTCGGCATTATTGCGATTGAACTTCAAAGTAGGAAAAAATAAAACGGCAAAACCTTATTGTTTTCGACTAGACATCGAACCTGCGTTTCGAAAACATCACACCACTGAGTCATTTGGTAAAAAAAGATCTCTTCCTTTAGTTTAGTGGGAATTACCAAATAAAACATTTCAAACATACAACTTTAGCTTTTATAAAGTATTGCTTGCAACTTCGCCGGAGTGAAATTAAAAAAATATTAAAAGTTTAGCCTATGTTAGATAGTAATAACATAGCTTTTTAATGGCTTTTAATGGTTCGGCTGTATTTGCTTGTTAGACCGTATATTTTTCACGCGTCTATCTGTCTAAGTACATGCAAATTAAACGTTTCAACCGATTTTGAATTGGTAACGACCAATTCTTCTCCAAAGTATCAGAAAATGGGCAATATTATATTGGTATAAAAAATTGTAAGTTTAATTAAAATATGTAAGTTCCCACTTCCCATTAAAATTATCTGTATTACAATATACAATGCGAATACAATAACATAAGACTTGCATGGAATGCGACACAGCCACAGAGCATATCAAATCGTTCCGCATGCGATGTTCTTGTACAACAAGCGGCAAAGTTACAATAATTATAGCTTTGCTTTGCAAATATGGACCAGACATATTTTTTTGTTCACTGTACACTGTAATGTAACCGAGCCCTGGCCTTACATTATTGTGGAGAAGTAGTGTAGATAAAGTATGCGTCTAAAGTGGACATGATAATGGTTATCTTGGGTTCTTCAAATGTTATCAAATACATGTTATGTATTGGTCTATGCATGCACCTTTACAATATTTCTCATTTATGTTTCTATTTTTTGTGATCATTATAATTTGCTCCATTGACCTTTATAAATGGACAGGTTATAAGGCGTAGTATTTTGTGTCTATTTTATTTTCGCCATCTTGGTGATGACGGTCGTTGTAGATGGGAGCGATGAGAAATGGATTTAATAATAAAGATTTAATTATCTGCCGTTAACAGCAATAGGCGCATTTAAATTGTAATAAAGCAATCGCTGTCATTACCAAACACCTATCGATTTATACAGATCAGTGTAAAATTAATAATAAATTAATAAATTATCTATATCTTATTTCAGAATTTTACTGTCAATTTTAAAACTAAAACCCAACTTCACTCATCAAAATGGCAGAAATGGAATAGGGACAGAATTTTATAAAATAAATTTTTAAAATGTAAATAACCATGTAACCTCTCAATAGAACCGTATAACTACAAACATAATTACCATCAAATATCATCAACTGAAAATAACACAGAAATCAATGCCTTCGGGGTTCTAAGGGTAAGTTGTCTTCTATGTAAATAACTAGCTGTCGGTTGCGACTGCGTGTCCGCAGAATTAAAAACTACTAAAAAATATAACCTAAGTTACTCAGCGATAACGTAGGTTTTTATTAATGAAAGAATATTTGTAATCGGTTCAGTAATTTTGATGTTATTTCAATACATACAAAAATACAAATAATTCCTCTTTATTATATTAGTAAAGATTAAAAGTTCGCTATTAGTTCCTAAACCATTTATATCTCATGATATGAGAAACTTTGCTAAGGTGACCTGTAAGGTCTGGAGGTTTACTTTAAAAAAATCTGTGCGTAAACACAAATATAGTTTTTTTTTTAGTTTTTAATTAAACTTATTGCCAGTAATCAAGTCGGTGTGCCTATTCATAATATGCAAGGTAGTGAACGAAACTACACTAACAATTATAAAGATAATGGTTTAGTCGTAAATCGTAAACTAGTAACATTGTCATATAGATAAGGGAAAAAAAATATAGCTTACGCGCCATAATCAAGCCTCAGGCTTATTTTAATAAGCCTTAATTATTTTTCCGCGTACTCTTACTTGTATTTAAAATATTTAAAAAGACTGTCTGCCTAAAACTATAAAACGCTAACAATTTAATGACAATAATAAAGTATATTGTAGCAATTTTGCAAAACACATTAATATGGTAACTATATGTTTGTTGAATTAATAAAAAGTTTTGTTCTGTAAAACATTTTTAAGTCCCATATGTAATTTAACTAGAAGTAATTATTAAAAGACGTTGAAATATTCGTTAACAAATGACAATGCAGAACCACCCTAGGCGAAGAGAAATAGAACCCAAACGCAGTATAATTTTGTTAGGGGCCCAATCCCGCATTAAATGGCACAAAAGAAAAAAGGTAATGCTTTGGGACTCGGGACTGAATACGTCACAAAAACTGGGAAGGGTATGGGAATCGTACAGAGCTGTGTGTATTTTAAAGTTGTTATTTCTATTAACTATTAACTGTAAGTTATTATGTTGACAATATTATTAGACGTCAATATTAACATGACGTATTTTACTAACCTACCAAAACTATAAACTTAATAATTACAGTATGAATACAAAGCTTAAAAGAAGCAAAAATTAAATTACGATTCAAAGGTTAACCCAAGTAATTCTAAGAAATTGAAATTGGAATCGAACCTCTATCCTGGTAGCGTACGGTCTTAACGATATTTTTAAAAGAACTTTTTAAAATGAGCCATGTTTAATGCTTACAATAACCCCAATACAGAAAATCTATCAAAAGGGCAATACTATTGCGAATATAAAATCAACATTTTATGTATTTAAATATGCAGCGGTTACTATTTTTTTTTATTTGCTTTCTATATTTTTTTTACAATTTTTGAACCACAAAGCCTTTTGCCTATTGCCTATTCTGTGAAATTACTACTACAAAAAGGTCGTTAAAAATTGCACTCTATCTCCATTTCATAAGATATTGTTTTGCTTGCGCTAGCTTAAGTACAAGTCGACCGCAAAAATTTGATAGTTTTGTTTGGAAACCTACTTTTTTGTACTGTTCATATTTCGTAGTTATTTTTTTATAATTTTAGTTTGGTCTAAGTTAGGAATCTTTTGTACGATCTGATATACATAAACATATTACTTGTGTTGCTTGTTCCGTTCCGCGTTAAAATCGAATCGGTTTGATTTCTACATTACATTTACAGTGAAAAACACGTGGTTCATAAAGTACACCTCTATTTTACAACACCTTTTTCAGCATGTAAAATAAACGGAATTAAAAGATTTGTTGCAGGCAGGTATCTATTTCGTTTCGATATATTACATTTATATTATACTTATTGCAATGTATAAAATGTTCTTGTTTTTTTATGAACAGGATTATAGCCGATTACTGATTAAAAAAATCTTGTGTTCAGGTTATAATTATAATCTACAGCTTTAAAAGTTTTGAGATGGGCTTTACTAATATTTTTTACTAAGATAATTATGTATAACCTATGTATGTTTGTTTCTCTTTTTGCGTCAAGGTCAGTCAGTTGACTCGCGCGAGTCGAGAAATAAATACCGCGCGCCAACCAGTCGCAGTCGTAACCGCGTTGTTGGGACATGATACGGTTTGTTCGAGATATTTTAAGCATTTGTCTCTGACTACTAACGCCATCTATTGCCATAATTTGAAAACACTAATATGCGATTTTTTTTACACTATTTGTACTTGTTTTTAAAGTAAATTTTAAATATGAAATGCAAATCATTTTCACTATATGTCCATCTAAAGAAAATTGTTTTGTCACCTTTTGAATATTTTTATTTTACAACATTGTAGTAACTTAATTAATAATTATTTGTTAAGAAATGTAAATAAAAGAGGTAGACATGTTCATACATTATTTACAATATATTACGCAAAGTAGTATTTTATATAAACATTTATGTATGAAACAAATCCATCATTCATTCAGTCCTTGAATACCCACGGAGTAGGTCACTGAAGTAGGTCATTGACATGGGAACAACGCTTACGTAAGAGTTGTTCCAGACGTGCGTTCTAAAGTATATTTCGTGCGTTTTTTTTTGTTTGTTTTTTTTACATCATAGCACTTCTTTTATACAATTTAAACACTATTAATAGTAATAGTGCATTTTCCTCTTATTTTTTGTATAAAAATGGTCTAATAAAGAAAATATAAACCAAGATCACGTACCTATACTTATAGTGTGAGTTTGCTATTGAAGTATTGAGATGGAAGAGTTATTAAACAAAATATTATGTCATACTGCGTCATGACGTAATAATGACTAGATGCGATTAAAAGCGTAACAGCAAAGAATGAATGAAGACGAAATTACTTAATTTTATCTTAATAAATTACTTTCTCCGTATAACTGAACCAGTCTTATGTGTGGTAGTCAACTTATAAAATACTAGTTGTTGCTCGCGACTTCGTCTGCGTAAAATTAAAAAATAAGTAAACAAGATACAGCCTATGTTACATATAAATTACCTTTCTAACGTTGAAAGAATTTTTAAAATCATTGCAATAGTTTTTATGTTATTCCATACATACAAAAATACAAATCTTTCCTCTTTATAATATTAGTATAGATGGAACGGATATGATCTTTGATCAAAGTTCGATTTAGCACTAATATTGACATATAATATAATAAAGGAAATGTGTATTTCTGTCGTGTGGAAGTTGCTTATGATTCATGTATATCGGATCTGAATTGTGTAAATTTTAAATACAGCTAATATTATGAATAACGAAAATTCCGACACTACATTTAATAATGGCATCTCCACACAATTTGGATCGTAAACATTGTAATGTCTACAGGCGGTGAATCACGCGAAATCTGTTTGGTTCAATGAAATTCATTCATCGATGACTAACAATAATAATAATTTACAAATCGTTCTATTTACATTCTTACGAGGTGAATGAAAGAGATAACAAGGCAGGCTCTTTCTTTTAGCTGATAGTTACCGTGTGCTGAATGAATGAGTAGTCACAACTCGGTAGCGATGGATGACGGACGTAGGCAGTCGCTTCTTGTGTTCGCGCTCTTTCTCGTGGATAGATAACCGCGAATTAGGGCCAGACCTCACGAATTCTATATTTAGTCTGTGAGTTCAGTCTGTCTCTTTCGGACGTATTGCATTTTGTACTTCATTGATGGAAACAGTTGATTGTTTACATTGTAGTGCAGTGAGCGTGCGGCCGGTGTATTTGTTTAGAAGAGGTCAAATTGGAGTTCACAATTTCTGCTGGGGTACATTTTGAATGAAAATATTATTACTATTTTTGTAAGCGAGAACGTACAACTAAGTTAGATCTATAAAAAAATCTAGATTTTTAGTTTTTTTTTGTTTACTCAAATTAATCACCAAATCATCAATCTTATTAGATTTTAAACGCAATAAGAAATTTACCTTCCATCTAACATTTAAGCAAATTAAAGCAATTAAAGCAAAGTATATACTACGAGGCTTATTAGTTAAAACATATTTATGACCCTTTGTTTCGTAGTTGTTATCAATAATTTATTACAAACTAACGCCCACCTGTATGTAGGTTATTATTATTTGGTACATGTCAAAACACCTACTGTATCGACTGATAAAAATATACTGATACTAGTTATTGTTAGTATACTGACTAGACATATAAAATCCCTCAATTATTCCGGGAAAAATATGGAGACCTTATTTTACTCCTTCCCTTTCCATCCTTTTCTTAAGAGGAAAGAATGGGAAGGGAAAGAGGATTTGATGGTGGAGGAGACGCATAGGAAGGGGAAATGTCTTCTTTATGTGTGTCTCCTCCGTCAATTAAGGGTAGGCAATGCATCTGCAATTGCGGATGTTATGGGCAGTGGTTGCTTTCCATTTCGGTGGATTCAGGTGACCGCTCGCTCGTTTGCCACCTCATATTATATAAAAAAATCTAACCAATAAAAAAATGGTGTAATAAAGACCCCGATTGAAGCGCCCTGATATCAGAATTTTATATTCTTGATTAGGCTATACCTACAGTTCGATTACATAGTTTGGAAACAAGCCCACATTTTTACATTGCGTCAGAAACGTAATCGATAGTAAATGAATTATTTCATCATCATATCTTTCAACAGTCAATCAGCCAATGATTTAGGCTTGGTCTAGGGGGGATGAAATAACACTAATATGTGCTTATTGGAAGTAAATTCATATCTAACTAGCTTTCGCCCGCGACTCTGTCCGCGTGGGATTAAAAATAACAAGAGTGGCCTATGTGTTTTTTCAGACTATCCCAAATCTATGACAAATTTATTCGAGATCCGTTAAGCAGTTTAGGCTACAAACTCTAACAAACATCCATCCATTCATCCATCTAAATATTAAATTAGGATTAATAAGTTTTAAATATTTTAATTCTCAAGAGTTTTAATTGTTGAAACTGTTAATTATTTATGCCTGTACAAACGTAGAAAACCAATAATTCTAGGATAAGTCTTAAAATGGTAGGAACCCATGGTCACAGTCATTTATTTTGTTTAAAAGTCATTGTTTTTATAGTTGGATTTTGTTGAGAATACATTTATTGCGCGAAGCTTTTATCGCAACATTAAGCACTCTTTCATTCCCATTGAAAAGATTGGGGACAAGTTGAGTTGTTTGTGAACGGCTTTCGATGTTTAATCCACAACTATACGTATTTATATCTATATATTATTTCGTATGTTTATATGAAGTAGTTGAAATGCTGTGGAAGTTTTATACAGAAGTATGAACAGCGTATAATGCACTAGGTATTGTAAAGGGATTTCATTTCAAAAGGTAATGGTTATCAACATTTGTGTTTTTTTTATTCTCGAGGAGGGAGGGGGGGATTTCTCTACCCCCTTATGCCCACTAGGCGACGCTCATTCATAGTTATTATTATATTAATGTTCTTATAGCAATTCTTCAATTCAACAGTGAATTGCATCGTATAATCGAATACAGACGAATTGAGTACCTCCTTTTGGGAAGTCGATCAAAAATTCAATTCTAAGGTAAATTATTTTTCTTCCTTTAAATAAAAACGCCAAATTTTATTGTAATAATGTACGAGTCTCGATCCTGGAAAAAACTACATTTATTTTGTTACATAATTCTTGGCCACGCGGTGGAGATTCGACTTTCCAGTCCAGCCTTCGTCGACTCTAACTAATAAGTCACGCTGTTGGCAACCAAAATTGACTTCTAAGACAAGTTAAAATATATTTTTCGCAAAAATACATTACTATTTTCAAGCAGTTCTTAGTTAACCTTGTCTAACGACCTCGATATATGTATCTCTAACAAAAGCGTAAGTTTTAACGTCATATCGTTAAGTGGTCGTTAAGTGAGAAATCTACACTAAGTGTTTCAGGAATTTTCAGTAATAATGGTGCATAATGAATGCATTACAATATGAATGGTTTTCTTCCCAGAGCGTGGAAGAGTTGATTATTTCCCTGTATTAAACACAATTGTCAGTTGTGCAAAGTAACAATAACATTCTTTAATCATCGTATGTTTATTTCCAATAATAGTCAATTGTTGATATTTTATACTAGTTTTTGCCCGCGATTCCGTCCGCGTAGCATTAAAAAAACAAAAGTGAGTAAGCCTATACATGTTCTTACAGACTTAATGTCCAATTTCATCAAGATTCGTTCATCCCTTTAGGCTACAAACTCTAACAAATAACCATTCATCCATCTAAATTTTCACATTTATGATATTAGTAATATTCGTGATTATTGATATACCATTGCTCATTAATAAATGAAAAAAAACCTAACTAAGTGGGTAAAGTATAAAATATAAAAACTAGCTTTTATTCGCGACTTTGTCCGAGCGGAAATAATAAAGAAACTTAGTATTATCGTTCTTCCAAACAGTAAGATTAAATTGTTGAATTTTGTCAATAATATATGTCCGTTTCTACTTTGTACCTTGATCGTGTATTGACATTAAAACAATAGCGGCAAAGGTTATTGTAGTTGAATTGCTTTTCAATCAACGATAACAAGCACAATATATTGACAGTTGCATTCAAAGTGTATACGTCTTTTGTATGAAAACGAGGTGAACATTAATTGTCATTATTTGAACCAGACTTTGCGGTTAAAAGATTACACAGAAATACACAGTCTCACCTGTCTTTATTCAACCCCTCACAAGTTATGGTAAAAAAAGGGCACTGTAAACATCGCGCTTAGAGCTCTAATAGCGTTAAAATCGGCACTGGATATAAATTAAGAACTGTAATTCTATTTTTCAAAGTCATTTACATCATTTTTCCGTCCTTATCCGTAATGAAGACACACCAGATCTATCTCTCATCATCTCAATCGTCATTCCCTTTTTGAACCCTTATGCAATCCATCTTTCTACCGTTATATTCACACTGAGTCAAGCTAAGCATTTCAAGGAATATTCTCCATTTATAAACTACGTCACTTCTATTCAGGAATTACATCATTTGGTGTACAAACGTAAAATACAGTTAATTAATGTCATTTATCTAACTAATTTGCGGTTATTTGACCTCGGCAACACATTTAAATGTACTAAAACGTTACCGCGGACTTTGGCTGCGATAACACCTGTGTAAATATTGTCATCTCTTTCATTCTGCTTGACTAGATAGAGACAGCAAGAAGTATTAATATTAGTGTCAGAGAAGTGGTAACATTGTTTTCGTCCGAGAGTTATTTGATGCACTTACTTGGTCCCGAACGTTGCTGTTTATATAGCGATAAATTACCTTATCTGGTGTGCTTCCGACATCTGCAAGTGAGATAGTTTCTTGTTGCCAAAGGAACGAGGTAGATTATTATCTTATGTTAGAAATAAGTTATCTTTTTTATAACCTGTATAAAAATATTGATTATGCAATAATTAATCTGGGTAAATTTTTCTTCCTTTTATAATAATGAATAAGAGACAAAATAAATAAAAGATTTTTTTATATTTCATTGTAAAAAGGAACCCACGATCAGTTATCATATAAAATATATTCAATTATCATGAACATCGGAGGTCATTGAAGGATAAACCCTCGCAAACTTAGAGGAACAAAACTCAAACCGGTTCCAAAATTATTTGTTACAATGTCTGCGCCTATTTCTTGTAAATTAGTATTCAAATATGACGCTGGCCGTCTTCCAGATTATATCAGAATATTTAGCTATAAAATAATTCAGAGAAACATTATAAAGACCATGTTTTTATTAAAGAAGATAAGATCATTTATTAAAAGGAAACAAAGAATAAAGCGATTTTTTTCATAGTATGCGTTCCCAATTCCCATCTTATCTTATAAATCGCAGGTTTCAGAAACCTTTATAAAAAACTTAAATTATGCGTTAAATGAGTATTTAAATCTCTACTTTGGTGAATTCAAGTGGTTCCTTGCTCATTTACTATCTTCTATACTAACACTTTAAAGAGGATTTTATTTTTGTATGTATTAAAATTACTCAAAACTACTGGGCGATTTAAAAAATTCTTTCATCGTTAAAAAGCTACATTATCAGTGAGTACACACATAGGCTATATTTTTTATTGTTTTTGTAATTTAACGCCGACGAGCTGGAGGCCCAATTTTAGTCCCTTTCCCGTCCCGCCTTTTTCTAATAAGGGAAGGATTGGATGGGAAAGTGGATTTGACGGTGGAGGAGACGCATATACATACGCATACACAAGAGGAAATATCCCCTTTTTGTGCGTCTCTTCCTCCGTCAATTTAGGGTAGGCAACGCACTTGCAATTGCGGATGTCTAAGGGGAGCGGTCGCTTTGCCTTCTGGCGGATTTAGGTGGCCGCTTGCTCGTTTGGCACCTTTTTATATTAAAAAAAAGTGTATTATGAAAAGTGGAAATTCACATTTATTAGTATAGGACTCAGTGATCACTTAGTAACTGTTGAACTAGGTAAGTTCAGTGTGACAGTCATTGTTCTAAATGTTATGAAATACGTTAATGTCACGAATTTAGGCTATCGTTATCATAGATGTATACTTTTGATTTTGTAACTGTTATTGGTCGATAACTATTTTTAATTCGGTAACGGCTTCTGACCCCGATTTTACTTATGTTAATAAATTCAGAGGAGGTAATAAGCTTGTTAAGATGCCGTACCTGCGTTAGGGTTGGGGAAGGTGATGCAACCACCTAGGGCGCCGGCATTAAAAGGCGCAATAGGCGGAATAAGGGGCGCTACGACATTTATCCTATGCATTATAGTATTAGTATATGTTGTTCACTATGCCTAGTCTATAGATTGCTTTAATGTCTTTGATTAAAATTAATGATCTTATTATAAAATACGTTGTATGCGTTTTATGTGTGGAATTATGTTATTTATTCCCTATTCCACATACATTTGCATCTGTCATCCGAATAAATGCAGGATTTTTGGTACAGAAATTTCTTTGTTACATTTGTTTATTTATTTAGACTGACCATATAGCGTTCAGTAACATTGAGTTGCTTTTTACTCATTTTAACATGCCTTAATACTTGCTTTTGGTTTGGAAATGAATTTAATAAAAATGTATTGCTTCCACGATAAGGCAAAAGTAATAAATTTTGGACTTAGGTCTCTCCTTATCGCTGTTCATTGTTGCTATTTGTCCGCGGACTGTTTCCAAATAGTGAAAATAGTAGAAATAGACATTTCGTATACATTAAAACAATAAACAATATTTACTTTAAATGTCTAAAAATAGGTGTTTTAACATTTCTTACGTTAAGTTGCTGAAACGCAGAGGGACAAATAAACATACTCTTGGAGTTTTCTCTGTTTTCAGAGATCAATATTTTGTAGGATTTTTACTAGCAACAATAAGGTTATAGTTATGTGCTATGTGAATATTATATCTATGTAACAAAGTACTTATGTGAACAAATTATTTTCAGGTGTTATGGAACACAACAATAGTTAACTCAACAATCATCAACCACAAGCAGCAATGGCGGTCCTTCGCAACGTCGATAACACGGCCAACAAGGCAAACGAATCTGTGGCTTTGCGGTATACCGTCGCGGTACTCGCCGCTTGGGCGGCTGAACTAGGTACCTAATATCATGTTAGCACGTACAAATATCCGCTATACGATCTACCCACTTCACATTAGTAGTGTCTAGTTCACAGTACGCTAGTAATTTAGTCTTCAACTGTACATTTGTAATGCACTAGTTGTTGCTCGCGACTTCGTCCACGTGAAATTTAATAATTATAGCCTATATTACTCAGCGATATCGTAGCTTTCTAATGGTGAAAGGAATCGGCCTATTAGTTTTTTTCAATACATATAAAAATACAAATCTTTCCTCTTTATAATATTAGTAAAGATCAGATTTCTCCCGCGACTACGTTCGCGTGGAATTAACAAAAAAAAACAAAAGTAAGTACTTCCAGACTGTCCTCTACATCAATGGCAAGTTTAATCGAGATCCGATCAGTAGTTTAGACTACAAACTCTAACAAACCATTCATCCATCTAAACTTTTGCATTTATAATTTAAGTTTTTTTTTTCAGTTACGTATCCATTCGATCTCACAAAAACCAGACTACAAATTCAATCGGAGGTTGCCACCGCGAAACAAGGCTTCAAGGTATCATATAATTAAATTACTTTTATCGTCAAGCTGTAATAACTTCGTTTTTGGCAAAAAATAATTAAATTACCTTTTGACGCAAGATGGCCCGGTCAAATTAGTCATGGGTACAATAATTCGCATAGAGTTGAGCATTTGTAGAAATGTTCGATACACTTATAAATGAACCATGAAATATGTCCTCATCGATTCAGCATTTAATAATAAATGGAAGTCGGTCCTAAAAAAATCATAACAGTATCCTTATAAATACTAGAAGTATTAGTACTTTTTTAAAGTCATATTAACCTAGTGATATCATAATTTTCAGATCTAGCAGAAAAATTGTAGCTTGGTATTTGATCTTTTCTGCTTAATAATCGATTTTTTAATTAAAGAATCTCGTACTTAAAACAACTCGTCCAATTTAGTCGGCTTATCCTTTTGTGGATTCGTTGGCAACCAGTATCGTTATACAAAATTAAACACAAAAACAACGCAATATGCTGACAATCTGTTGGCACGAGGCACAGTTGAAACAGTCTCCGAAAAGCAAATATTTTTTTAGGTTACAAACACAACTGAAGAGATCGTAGTTTTTTCTTACAATGTTAGGTAATTTAATCCATTGCTTTAAGTCGTGTGTGAATCGTTTCTTCTAATCGATTTTGTATAAATAAATAGTTATCCGCCGAGTATATCCAAGCCTGTACTTTAACCCAAACATACGGCCAATCGATTGGTTAAAGGTCGAAGTGCTTTGTACAAGGTGACGACAAACAAGTCTAGGTTTATGGGCTTTGAAGCGATATCTAAATAACACTATAAACTTAAAGTGGTAATAGTAACTTGTAAATTTTAGACTCGAAACGAAATTACTTTAAAAAATGTTTTTCTTTCTCGGACTTGTAACATTTAAAATCATTCAATGGTTACTTTAGCAGTTTCTTTTCCCCCCGCTATTCTTATGGTCGAATTCTCATACCACATTTCAAGATCAATTTTCCTTTACAGCTAGAAAACATCGGTATGGTAGGCACGGCTTTTAAGATCGTGAAGAAGGAGGGAGTACTGAAACTGTGGAGTGGGCTGATGCCGATGTTGCAGCGGCACGCTATCTACTCGGGCAGCCGGCTCATCTTCTATGAGAAGTTTCGCAACTTCTTCAGAGACAGTCAAGGCAACACCTCTCTAGCCGCGCAGTCTTTATGTGAGATATTTAAATTACATATTGTCTTGAAATATGAAGTCGAATTAATTTTAAAGTGCAGTGTGGATCGTGGGTTTGATTTTCTTGATTATAATTTGATGACATCCTTGTTCTAGGCCAAATTTTGCGTCTATAGTACTTCAGGAAAAATTACCTTGTTTATTGCAACGACAGTAACTACAAAAAAACTAATAAGATAAGGGGTAATAATATAATAAACTAGCCGTGTTATTTTCATACAGACACATTTATGAGCTACATTGTTTTGTTCATCGTCTCGTTTCAAAATATTCAGACGATTGTAGCTTTTAAGATGCAACACCGCCTTTCCCCGATTGTACTGCCAAAGTTTGTATATGGGTATTTATAAATGTGGTAACGTCGGCAAGTCTCGTAGGCGGAGCATCTGCAGGCGCGCTGGGGCAGCTTATCGCGTCGCCCACCGACCTGGTGAAAGTGCAGATGCAGGCGGAAGGCCGCCGGCTGCTGCAGGGCAAGCGGCCGCGCTTCGCTAATTGCCGGCAAGCCTACTCCATACTGTACTCTGAGAGCGGCATCAAGGGATTCTGGAGAGGTACCAAAGAAATTGACAAATACTATTAAGTGACCATTATTCCTTGGATTATTTCCAACCGTCACCCCGTTCTTTCCCCACGAGGGGACTGTTGAGAATAAAAAGTTTCACCCGTCTCACCTTTTAGTCCCACTATCACCAATAAAGTGACAGACAGAACCGTCGAGAAATAATATAAGTTCAAACCTCCTCGGTGCAAAAGGTGGGACGGATAAAACTTTCTATACTCCTATGTTTTCACGTGGGGACCAAGCGGGGTGACGGTTGGGAATAATCCTATTCCTTGGAACTTTTAGCTGAAACACGCCAATGTATCAAAATGTCAGTAATTTAGCCACCACATGTCTTTGAGAAATTAGGAAGAATTATAGGTACTTTAACATAAATAGCATTACAACATTTCTTGCTTAACGCTCTGTCAGTAATTCAGTAAATCTTGAAGTTTATGCTTGTCTCGAATTTAAAACTGTTAACTACGTCTTGGTCTTGAATGGCATTATGCATTCCTTTCCTTTGACTTCT